AAGATGTTTTTTTTTTTTTGAGTTGGAGTCTCACTCTGTCGCCCAGACTGGAGTGCAGTGGCTGCTCCCGGCCACTGTAGCCTCGACCTGCTGTGGGCTCCGGTGATCCTTCCGCCTCAGCCTTCCCAGTAGCTGGAACTACAGGCGCGCGCTACCACGCCCGGCTAATTTTTGATTTATTGTAGAGATGAGGTCTCTCCAAGTTGCCCAGGCGGGTCACGAACCCGCAGACTCAGGCAATCCAGATTTTTTTTTTTAATTAGCTGGGCCTGGTGGCACATGCCTGTGTTTCCAGCTACTTGGAAGGCTAAGGTGGAAGGATCTCCTGAGTCCAGCAGGTTGAGGCTGCAGTGGCTGTCAGCATGCCACTACACTCCGACCTGGGCAACAGAGTGAAACTCCTATTCAAAAAAGAAGAAAAAAAAGAAGCAAGAAGTCATTGGTTATAGGGCGTATTACAAGCAGTGATATGTGGGCTGGTCATCGCTAAGGGAGGCTCTTCATAGAATCTACCAAACCTGACTGCAAGGTTGCAGTTAGGAAAGACTGTTTTAAAAAATTATTATTATATTATTTGAGTTGGAGTCTCACTCTGTCACCCAGGCTGGAGTGCAGTGACATGATAAAGTCTCACTGCAGCCTTGACCTCCTGGGCTCAAGTGATCCTCTCACCTCAGCCTCCCGGGTAGCTGAGAATACATACAGGGACACACCACCACGCCAGGTTAATTAAAAAAAATTTTTTTTTTGTAGAGACGAGGTTTTGCTATGTTGCATAGACTGGTCTCTAACTCCTGGGCTCAAGCAATCCTCTTGCCTCCCAAAGTGCTGGGATTATAGGCATGAGCCACCATGCCCGGTTTAGGAAAGGCTGTTACTGGAAGAAACATGAAATGGAAAAAATGTCCTCATAGAAGTGGCCTTAACTGCAAGGTTGTGGTTTTGGTGAAGTTTTTTGTGACAGTTCTTGCTGTCAGGTGGATATGAGTGAGGGCCCTCTCTTCATGGCCCCCCTGTGCCATTGTACCATTGTAATAATGTTTCACATGACTCCATTTTGATTCGAACAACCTTCATACATTTCTGTCACACCATGGGTGCTCTGAAAATAAATTACAATAATTGAGTTAATAAGAAACTCAGCTTGCCAGGCTCGGTGGCTCAGCCCGTAATCCCGCGCCTTTGGGAGGCTGAGGTGAGTGAATTGCCTGAGCCCACAGGTTCGAGACCAGCCTGGGCAGCGAGACCTCATCTCTACAATAAATCAAAAAATCAGCCGGGCGTGGTAGCACATGCCTGTAATTCCGGCTACTCAGAAGGCTGAGGCGGAAGGATCGCCGGAGCCCAGCAGGTCGAGACTGCGGTGGCAGGGAGCGGCCACTGCACTCCAGTCTGGGTGACAGAGTGAGACTCCAACTCAAAAAAAAAAAGAAACTCAGCTCATGTTGAGATGGTGAAATGAAATGATACGTAAGTTCTCAACGTGGTACTGGCACACCATATGTGCAAACAATATGTTAGCTGCGTGTAAAGAATTGAACAGGAGAGTTTGTAGGAAGACATCTTGGTGGGTTTTGTTTTTACTTATTTATTTATTTATTTTTATTTTTTTTTTAGAAAGCAGGATTTATCGAGAAGACAGAAAAGCTCCCACAGTGGGAGGGGACCTGAAGGGGTTGTCCTGAGTTTTGTTTTTAGAGGAACTGGTTGCTTAGAGGAGTTTTCTTTTGTCTACAGGAACTGGTTGTTTACGCTAAGTAATCTCCTAATCCAGTGGTACCAAAACTTTGCTGCACATTGATATCACCTGTGGGATCTTTACCGACAACTGATGCCTGACTTTCAATGCCAGACATTCTGATTTAATTGGGATGGTGTCCAATCTAGGCACTGGAATTTTTATTTTATTTTATTTTATTTGAGTTGGAGGGTCTCAGTCTGTTGCCCCGGCCAGAGTACAGTTGCATGATCACGGCTCACTGCAGCCTCCAACTCCTGGGCACAGGCAATCCTCTTGCCTCAGCCTCTGCAATAGCTGGAACTACAGCCATGTGCCACCACCAACCAAGCTCAGCTAGTTTTTTGATTTTTCTGAAGAGACGAGGTCTCGCTATATTGCCCAGACTAGTCTCAAGTTCCTGGGCTCAAGCAATCCTTGGAATTGGGATTTTTTAAAGGATCCTATGGTGGCAGATGAATGACCTTCCAAAGAATGGTCTTCCACTTCCTAAGCCCAGAACCTGTGCATGTGTTAAGTCACACAGCAAAGAAAAGTTGAGGACACCCATGAAATTAAAGTTGTTTATCATCTGATCTTAAAATAGGGTGGCTCTCTTGCATTTTTTAAGTATACAGTATATCATTATTAACTGTGGATACCATATTGTACAATAGATCTCTTAAACTTAATCCTACTACTTCACTGACATTTTGTATCCTTTGACCAACATCTTCTAGCCACTTCTATGAGAAGTATAGTTTTCAGTGTATGGTTTTTTGTTCACTTTACTATTTTTCTCCCAAGCAGACAATATCATTCTTACACTCTACTGCCAGGGATGACAAAGGAGTGATGAGGGAAATATAAAACTGTTTTTTTCTACCCTCTTAAATGTGTTTTTTCTCATTATTGTGCTACAAGCAGATACTGTGATGTCTCACCTTTTTTCCCTAGCTTTTTATTTGGTGTAGATTGTTCAGATTGGTGTTTTTGTCAGGGGATAATCTCTGGACAGTCCCATTCTGCCATCTTGCTCCATCTCTTTCTCATTGTTTCATCATTTGCACAGAATTGTCCAATTCAGAGATCCTTTACTTAAGTAGGATTATGAATTAATGAAATTTTATTTTAAGTGGAAAAACTAGAGTGGTTAGTCTGGATTATATAAGTGGGCTGACTATAGTCACAAGAGTCTTAAACTGAGGAAGAGGAGGGCAGAGCTGTCAATGTCAGTCATGTGACTTGAGAAAGACTTACACAGCCATTGCCAACCTTGAAAAAGAAAGAGATCTATGAGTCAATCAGTAAGTGGTTTCCAGAAGCTAGAAAAGACAAGAAAATGGATTCCACCCAGAGCCTCTGGAAAGGAAGGCAGCCTTGCTGACACCTTTACTTCAGCCCAGTGAGACCCAAGTCAGACTACTGACCTCCAGAACTATTAAGAAATGTGTGTTGCCTTAAGCCACTAAGTGTGTGGTGATTCGTGACAGCAGCAGTAGACAACTAACATAGATCTTTTTTAGCATTTGTTAGTTATTAATGTTTTAGAGATGAGCTCTCGCTATGTTGTAGGCTGGTCTCGAACCCCTGGGCTCAAGCAATCCTTCTGCCTTGGCCTCCCAAAGTTCTGGAATTACAGGTGAGAGCCACCACACCTGGCCAGGACCACTGTTTTAACTGTTGAGACTGCCTTTTGCCAAGCTGGTCTTTCACCTGGAAAGAAAGAATGATTCACAGCAGTAACAAGATGATGTTCTTACCTGGGCCATCCTTCCTGCTGAGGGCCAGCTGCCCCGCACTGTTGCTCCCCCAGCCAAACGAAGTCCCACAGAGTGACAGGGCGAAGCTGTGAGCCCCTCCAGCAGCCACCTGAGCCAGCGGGATCCCCTCCAGGGACCTCACCCTCTGTGGGACAGCTTGGGACAGGAGCCCTTCCCCCAGACCCAGCTGCCCATGGCTGTTTTTTCCCCATGAAAACACTTGGCTATCTATAAAAATAATGAAGAGAAATTCACAATTGCACACATATCGGAATATCAAATTCAAGTAGGAACTACCACTCTAATTCCATAATTTTTTTTCAACTTTATTGAAGTATGATTGACAAATAAAATTACATATTTAAAACATCTAATGTGATGTTTTGATGTACGGATATATTGGGAAATGATGAATGCCATAGCCAGTTAATGTATCAATCATCTCACGTAGTTACCTTCTGTCTGTAATGAGAACATTTACAACCTACTCTCTTAGTAAATTTATTTTTATTTTATTCTGAGTCATGGTCTCCCTCTGTCACCCAGGCAGGAGTGCAGTGGCACGATCATAGCTCACTGTAGCCCCGATCTCTTGGGCTCAAGTAATACTCCTGAGTAGCTGGGATTATAGGTGTGCACCACCATGCCTGGCTAAATTTTTTTTAATTTTTTATTTTTTTTGAGTTGAAGTCTTACTCTGTCACCCAGGCTGGAGGGCCATCGCAGGCTGGGCTCAGGCAATCCTCTCACCTCAACCTCCCAAAGTACTGGGATTATAGGTGTAAGCTATCACGCCTGGCCATTTTTTTTTCATCTTTTATAAAGATGAAGTCTTGCTATGTAACCCAGGCTGGCCTCAAACTCCTGGGCTCAAGCAATCATTCTTCCTTAGCCTCCCAAAGTGCTGGGATAACAGGTGTGAGCTACCACGCCTGGCCTCTTCTGTTTCTTAGTGTGTAACATTAGGCATATTATTTAAAGTCTCTGGGTCCAAATTTTCCCATTTCTGAACTGAGAATATGAATCATACCCAGTTTCTGTGCTTTTTGGGTAATTATATGAGATAACTCATGTAAAGCATTTAACACGGTAGTTGACACACAGATGACCAAAAAAATGTTGGCTATCCAGAGACCCTACGGTACAGTTGCAATGCTGAAGAACACACAAATGTTGCATATCTCTTGAAGAGGATGAAGATAGACCACCTTGCCAGGTGTGGTGGCTCAGGCCTGTAATTCCAGTACTTTGAAAGGTGGAGGCAAGAGGATTGCCTGGGCCCGGGGGTTAGATACTAGCCTGGACGACACTCTACAAGACTTCCTCTCTATAGTTTAACAAAAATTAGCTGGGCATGGTGGCACATGCCTGTAGTTCCAGTTACTTGGTGGTGAAGCAGAAGGATCACCTGAGCCCAGCAGGTTGAGTACCGTAGCTGTGCACATGCCACTGCACTTAAGCCTAGGTGACAGAGTGAGACTCCAATGAGGAAAAAGAGAGAGTGAGAGACAGACAGACAAACAGAGAGATAAGCCACCCTGAAATATGCTACTTTGGCATAAGGATTGTTTTAAGCTGAAGACAAATGAAAATCAACAGCACTTTGGGAGGCCAAAGTTAGAGGATTGCCTGAGTCAAGGAGTTCGAGACAAGCCTGGGCAACATGTCAAGACCTTGTCTCTACAAAAAAATCAAAAAAATTAGCCAGGTGTGGTGGTGCGTGCCTGTTATCCCAGCTACTCAGAAGGCTGAGGTGAAAGCATCACCTGAGCCCAGCGGGTCGAGGCTGTGGTGGCTGTAAGTGTGCCACTGCACTCCAGCCTGAGTGACAGAGTGAGACTCCAACTCAAAAAAAAATGTAGATTCACAATTATTATGTGTTAAAATATTAATAAAAATGGGGTGCCTTTCTCTGTTAATCTGTCTTTTGTTCACTTAATTTGCAGGCTCCCAGACACCGAACATGAGAGTGTAGAGATAAAAAAATAAATAAATACAAACTTTAAAAAGAAAAAATGTAGAGTCAAGCTTTTGACTTTTTTTTTTTTTTTTTTGAGAAAGTAGGATTATTCTGAAGACAGAAAATCTCCCACAGTGGGAGGGGACCTGAAAGAGGTTGCCCGATTTTGACATCTTGACTTTTCTGTCTTTGAGACAACGAAATAGACACTTAGACCTTAGTCCGCTCATGTTTGCCAGTGTAGACAAGCCAGTCAGCAGAAAGAGTAAAAGACTGGGAATAAGGCCACTGTTCAGTCGGCCAGTTGGGTCAGATAAACAGAGGTGGTCATTTGTGGCAACAGAGTGTAAGAAGAGCAGAGAAATTTGGGGGTAGAAAAACGGGAGGAACACCACATCTTACGAAACCTGGAGATTTAAAACCTTCTTAGGTGCATTAAAACAAACCCTAGTGTGTTAAAAAAAAAATGTATAGTTCTCATTCTTATCCAAGACATTATTTCCCAATGACACTCGGAGATTCAAAACTTGTTTTTTACCTTTTGATAATGCCAGGGAGTGGTAGTGTCCACAGGAAACTTGTATTATTTTTATACCCTTCAGAGTTGTTATTTTCCTATAATAAAAATGAGACAAAATCTATTAATCTTTATTTAAGGTGAGTTGCCAAGTGGACTACAGATATTCAAAAGTATCTCAGGTAATATGGCCTAAAAAGCAATTTTTCCCCTCATATTTCTGAAGTACTTTGATTTCAGCACACTCAAATGGTTTTTAATATGGTATCAACACATACAGAGGACAGGACAGAATCCAAAACAGTACATAATGTGGAAGTGATTTTTATTGGACTTTGATACATCATGTAATGCATTAATTTTTATTTTATGCTTTTGGCTTAAGAATTTGTTAAATACCAGAACTTTGGGAGGCAGAGGTGAGAGGAGTACCTGAACCCAGGCGTTCGAGACCAGCCTGGACAACTTGGCGAGACCTCGTCTCTGCAATAAAATCAAAAAAAGTTGACTGGGCGTGGTAGCACGTGCCTCTAGTTCCAGCTATTTTGAAGGCTGAGGTGGAAGGATCGCCTGAGTCCAGCAGGTTGAGGTTGCAGTGGCCATGAGCATGCCACTGTGCTCCAGCCTGGGCAACAGAGTGAGATTCCGACTCAAAAAAAAAAAAAAGAAAGAAAAGAAATTCCTTCATACACATAAGCACAGGGCTTTAGCATTTACAGAACACCCAACACCAAGTAGCTGGGACTACAGGTGCACGCCACCACACCTGGCTAATTTTGTGATTTATTCTAGAGATGAGTTCTTGCCAAATTGCCCCAGCTGGTCTCAAAGCCCTGGGCTCAGGTAATCTTCTTGCCTCCCCCTCCAAAAGTGCTGGGATTACAGGCATGAGCCACCGCACCGGCCTCAATGCCTTCATCATCTAATTTAATCCCTATGAGATAAAGAAACCACTAGGTTAAATCATACAAAATTGCCATGTTATTGAATCAAAAACAGATAAATATCAGCAATTTCATGTAGTTGAACCTAAGGGTACTCCAAGAGGTCAAATAGGTATCAAGGTGAAGAAAACCCTGATCTTTTCATTCCAAGTTCAAAGCTTATTACCCTAAGTCACATCACTCCCTCACAATTTTATGAACAGAAACAAGAAGTAATTTCCTGGTATTAGAAAGAATGCATTTGAAAATTCCCAAGGATGTGATTGGGTGCGGAGCCTCACACTTATAATCGCAGCACTTTGAGAGGCTGAGGTGAGACGATCGTTTGAGCCCAGGAGTTTGAGACAAGCCTGGGTAACATAGTGAGACCTCATCTCTATTAATAAAAAAAGAACAAAAAGTAATAAAATAAAGAAAATTCCCTAAGTATGTAAGTCATAAAAACATAATTCAGAGCTATCATGTTACTTGTCCTAGGAAGCTGTTTGTCAGGAAATGTGATCTTTCCCCCCATTTTACTAAAGAAAATATTGAGACTCAGAGGCTTAAGACAAAGCAAAAGTTTAGGTTAGGAGAAAAACTTTTCTTCTTCTAACCTGAGTCCCATGTTTAGGAGCCTGCAAATTAACTGACAATAGACAGATTAACAGAAAAAAAGACAAGGTTTATTTACACGTGGGCTCACTTATGCAGAACAGCCCAAAGTAAAGTTATATACCTATATATCTTAAATGTTCCCCTGTGCTTAATACAGCAGTAGGTGATTATGAATCATGAGTTGAAATTTGTTTAATGCTGCCGAAAGCTACTGGATTTCACTCCAAATAACAGTCAGTCCAACAACACAAACCCTGCTTGTAGAATGAAATGCTGTGTGAAGTCAATGCCCCAAATCTTCCTTTTTTCCTCCACTCTTCTTCCTCTCTTTCTAGTTCTGTGCCATGGTGAGAGGGATGAGGAGCAGGGGTGGGAAGAAGGGACGGAGGAAGAAAGACAGAGACAAAGAAAAGACAGAGAGCTTCTGTCATTGAAAAACTATGCCTGTTCAAACGAGAAATGCATTGTTGGTTGACTTGCCTCTTCCAATAAGCATTGTTTGGACAAAATAAATGAGCAGAAGCACCTAACTCCATTAAGAATGGCCACCATTGCCAGGCTCGGTGGCTCAGCCTGTAATCCTGCGCTTTGGCAGGCTGAGGTGAATGGACTGCCTGAGCCCGTGGGTTCGAGACCCACCTGGGCAACTTGGCAAGACCTCGTCTCTACAATGAATCAAAAAATTAGCCAGGCGTGGCAGCGCACACCTGTAGTTCCAGATATTTGGAAGGCTGAAGGGGAAGGATTGCCGGAGCCCAGCAGGTCAAGACTGCGGTGGCCGGGAGCGGCCACTGCACTCCAGTCTGGGTAACAGAGTGAGACTTCAACTCAAAAAAAAAACAACAACAAAAAAGAATGGCCACCATTAATAAATCAAAAAACAACAGATGCTGGTATGGGTGCAGGAAAAAGGGAATGCTTCTACACTGTTGGTGGGAGTGCAAACCTGTTCAACCTCTACGGAAAGCAGTGTGGTGATTTTTAAACTAGAAATTGACCTTCCATATGACCTAGTAATCCCCCTCCTGGGAATATACCTGAAGGAACTCAATTCCACAAAAAAGATACCTGCACATGCATGTTTATGGAAGCAATATTCACAACAGCAAAAATATAGAACTAACCGTGCTTCTCACTGAAAATGGACTGGATTTTTAAAATGTGGTATATATACACGATAGACTATTACACAGCCATAAAGAAGGACAAAATTATGGACTCTGCAGCAACTTGGATGGATTTAGAGACCATCACACTCAGTGATCTATCACAGAAACAGAGAACTGAGTACCACATGTTCTCACTCATAAGTAAGTCCTGAACACTCATCACAATACTACAAGGGAGGGATCAGCAGTCACGAGACACTGCTAGGGGAGGAGGGGGGCTCGTAACATCGCCAAGGGTACTTGATCCTAAACCAGGGAAGTGAGGACCCGTGGGAGGCCCAAACTTCACCTGCAGGCAGACGACTTATGTACCTAATCCTGACTTGTACCCCACGTCTGTACAATAAAACAAAGAAAACAAGAAAGAAAGAAAGAAATGAGCAGAAGCATCTACAGATTATGAAGGATGAACTTAGTAAACTTTGGAACTAAATTGTAGTATATCAGTCATTCCAACTTACTTAGGGTTGCTATATGTAAATCAATGATAAAAGAAGCCGTGATAGGGCTTCAGTGGGAGAGTGTGGAAGGTTCTGTTGGGCCTTCTGACAGTAACGGGGATGGGCCGTCTGTCTTCGTGATGGCTGAATTTGCAGGAAACTCCCAATGAGGGAGGTTCATGACAACCATATTTTAAGGAGGCTCCAGCGAAGTGTCAGAAAAAATGTTTTCTACATCTTCTGTAGCTCAAATGCTCTCACTTTAAAATAGTCTTAGGGGCAGTAGTGGGAAACTGCTGGGGGCGAGGGGAGGCGGGATTGGTCGTAGCAGGAATCTGCAGGGGAGTGGGAGTAACGACACCTCATCAACAAGGGTACCTGCATAATGAACATTTGTATACCTAACCCTGATTGTACCCCACATCTTTAAAATTAAAAAAAATTTTAATTAAAAAACAGTCTTAGACTGGGCACAGCAAATCACGCCTGTAATTCCAACACTTTGGGAGGCCAAGGCAGGAAAATTACCTGTGCCCAGGAGTTCAAGACCAGCCTGGGAAACCTTGACTCTACAATAAATCGAAAAATTAGCCAGACGTGGTGGCACGTGCCTGTAGTTCCAGCTGCTTGGAAGGCTGAGGAGGAAGGATCATCTGAGACCAGCATCACGAGGCTGCGGTGGCCATGAGCATGCCACTGCACTCCAGCCTGGGCGACAGAATGAGACTCCGACACACACACACACACACACACACACACACACACACATTAAAATACTCTTTATACTCACTGTGGAGACCCAAGTGTGTCCCCACAAAGAGTTCCATCTTATTCCACTCTCCGCTTTTCCTGCATGGGATTCTAATTAAGAAATCATTGGTGATGTAAGTTCCTTCCTGCCTTCTCTGGACTGCAATCCTTGAAGTCAGGAGCTGCATTAGTCATCGTCATAATAATTCTTGCAGTCATCTTTGTCATCATCATCTTTGTAGCCTGGCATTTTGCCAGGCACATGGTACCCCCCCCCAAAAAAAATGAATTAATGAAAGAGTGAATGTAAACACTTACGTGGGTATAGAACATGTTTCCATAAATTCTCCAATTCCCAGCTGCCCTTCAGAGCCAACTCCCCATGCAAAGACTCTTCCTTTGTGGCAGACAGCCAGGGAGTGCTCCTTCCCACAGCTCACAAAATCAACATGTAGAGTTCGCAATGCCTTAACTGGTGCTTTGGGAGCAAAAACAAAAAAAAAACACCCCCCCATTATTAATTTATCAACAAATTCAAAACAGAACTTATCTTCAAAAAGAAGGGTCACCCAGATGCCTTGTCTCCTCCAATGGTTTTTGAAATCAATACCTAAAGTCCATGCTAAATGTCTGCCGGAAAGAAGCTCAATGTGTGTAACTCTGTCTTTATGGGAACATTTGTGTTAAAACAATCAACCAGGAGACCATGCTGCTCACTGATTATCAAGGAGATGCAAATTAAAACTACACTGAGATACCACCTAACTCCAGTCAGAATGGCCATCAATAATAACTCAAAAAATAACATGCTAGAGAAGATGTGGCGAAAAGGGAACACTTCTACACCGACGGTGGGAGTGTAAACTAGTACAGCCTCTGTGGAAATCAGTGTGGCAATTCCTAAAACTCCTAAAAATTGACCTTCCATATGATTCTGCATTCCCCTACTGGGAATATACCTGGAAGAACTCAGGTCACTCTATAAAAAAGATAACTGCACACGCATATTTATTGCAGCATTGTTCACAGGAGCAAGAACATGGAACCAACCGTGCTGCCCATCAAAAGAGGACTGGATTAAAAAAATGTGGTACATATACAAAATGGAATATTATACAGCGGAATATTACACAGCCATAAAGAAGAGCAAAATCATAAACTTTGCAGCAACGTGGATGGAATTAGAGCTTATAATACTGAGTGATCGCTCACAGAAACAAAGAGATGAGTATCACATGTTCTCACTCATAAGTGGACCTTGAACAACTACCAAATTACTGTAGTATTAATTACAAGTAGCGGGAAACTGCAGGGAGGGGGGTGGGGGCTGGGAAGCTGGGATTGACAGTAGTCGGTCTCCACCTGGGGAAGGGGGGCCACATCTCATCAACAAGGGTACCTGCACAGTGAGCACTTATATACTTAACCCTGAATTGTACCCCACAATTTCAAAATAAAATTCTTTTAAAAAAAGAAGACTGGGTTCCTACATAAGCAAAGAAAAACCCAACTCTGAATGAACTCACAACCTAGAAAAATGAAACTTAAGCTTCACCAGTCAGAAACTGGCAACTAACCTCTGACCGGTGACTTGACTCACCAGAAACTGCCAACTACTTTTATCTAGGGACTTTCCACTTCAGCCAAATCAAATATTTGCTTTGTCTTGCTTCTTCAAACATCATATGACAGTTTCCCTGGTCTCCTCTCTCACCCCTCTCCACTTCCCTCTATGGAGCCTAACTGCTTGAGGTTGGAAGTTGTCCAACTCATGAATCAATGAGTGTTCAAATAAACTCTTAAAAATTGTAATGTAGGCCAGGAGTGGTGGCTCACGCCTATAATCCCAGCACTTTGGGAGGCCAAGGTGGGAGGACTGCCTGAGCTCACGAGTTTGAGACCCACCTGGCAACGAGACCTCATCTCTACAATAAATCAAAAAATTATCTCGGCATGGCAGCATGTGCCTGTAGTTCCAGCTACTTGGAAGGCTGAGGCAGAAGGATCATCAGAGTGCAGCCAGTCGAGGCTGTGGTGGCCATGAGTGTGCTACTGCTCTCCAGCCTGGGCGACAGAGTGAGACTCCGACTCAAAAAAATACAAATAAAAAATCCACCAGGTGTGGTGGCACCCACCTGTAGTTCAAAGTACTTGAAAGGCTGAGGTGGAAGGATCAACTGAGCCCAGCAAGTCAAGGCTGTGGTGGCCATGAGCGTGCCACTGTACTCCACCCAGCCTGGGAGACAGAATGAGACACCAACTCAAAAAAAAAATGTAATGTACCCAAGTTTATCTTTTAACAGCTGCTGTTTAAGAGTAGGCATCATGGAGAAAGGGAATTTCTAGGGACTATGATGCTTGATCAAATGTTTCTCTATGATGGTGGTAGCAAAACCTAGCAAAATAAAAGAACCCAGAGGTTTCCTCCATTGTATACTTCTTCTCCTTTTTTTTTTTTTTTTTTTGAGACAGGGTCTCGCTCTGTCATCCAAGTTGGAGTGCAGAGCCTCCTGAACTCTAGAGATCCTCCTGCCTCAGCCTCCCAAGTAGCTGGAGCTACAGGTGTGTGCCACCGTGCACAGCTAATTTTTCTGTTTTTTGAAGAGACAGGCTCTTGCTACATTGCTGGCCCAATCCTCCCACCTTGGGCTCCCAAAGTGCTGGGATCCATTCTAGTTTTTTGTCTTTTCAACCTGGAATATCAAGAGCAGAGAATCCCTTGCTCAGAAGGAAATTGGCAGGGAGCCTGCCCCCTGAGTGTGAGAGGCAGATGCTGGATTCTCTAACAATGAAGAGAGAAGAAATATGTCCCTATAGAGCCCCTAAATGTGCCCACAAATGAAAACCTGATCACATGTCCCCACAAGGCAATTTAAACTGTTTTCCCAAAGTGTCTCTGAAATATTAGAGGTTTAGGCTTGAGAACATCATTCCCCATAAAGTTTGTGTACTACTTAAGATTTTTTTTTTTTTTGAGTCAGGGTCTCGTTCTGTCACCCAGGCTGGAGTGCAGTAATATGATCACAGCCACCATAGCCTTGATCTGCTGGCCTCAGGCGATCCTTCTGCCTCAACCTCCCAAGCAGCTGGGACTACAGGTGCGCACCACCATGCCTAGCTAATTTTTTTATTTATTGTATAGACGAGGTCTCGCCAAGTTGCCCAAGTTGGTCTCAAACCCCTAGTTTCAGGCAATCCTCTCACCTCTGCCTTCCAAAGTGCTGGGATTATAGGCATTAAGCCATCGTGCCTGGTTAAGATTTTGTTTCACCTTTGTGATCTTATCAAGTATTTACTTAAATCTAGGCAATGCTAAAAAATTTTTCAAAGATTCATACACTCATGAAGGTAAAATTGATACCACTTTCCTGGAGAACAATTTAGCATTAAGTATCACGTTGCCCCTCACTTTCACCTGAGGGGACTTAGGACGTGTCACCTGAAAACACAACACTTCAGCCTAAGAATTATTTTGAGTTGAAGGCAATTGAGAATCAACAGATGCAGGAAGAGTTCTCTGCCCTCCTCTTGTGTGCCTAAAAGTCAGGCATAAAACCCTTTGTGAAGAGCCTCTGTCTCCTGGACCAACTAAGATGGAGAGCTGGCACTGAGATAAGCCTGCATAGACAACTCTTACTAAAATAACCCTTATCTTCTATTTGATTTTCTCATATATCTTCTAGTCACTTCCTCCCAATTTACCATCCTTTGTTATCATCCATTGTAAATATGGTCTACAAGCCCCAGAGTTCAAGCACTTGAGCTTCACTTCTTTTCTGTAAATTCCCTACATGTAAAAGATTAACAAAATTGTATGCTTTTTCTCCTGTTCATCTGTCTTTTGTCAGCAAAATTTGCAAGTCCCTAAGAGAGTAGAGGAAAAATTTTCCTCCTCCAAATCTCTTGAAATTATTCTAAGGCCGGGCATGATGGCTCATGCTTATAATCTCAGCACTTTGGGAGGCCAAAGTGAGAGGATTGCCTGAGCCCAACAGGGTTGAGACCAACCTGGGCAACTTGGTGAGACCTCATCTCTATAATAAATAAAAAAATTAGCCAGGCATGGTGACATATGCCTGTAGTCCCAGCTACTTGAAAGACTGAGGGGAAGGATCACCTGAGCTCAGCAGGTCGAGATTGCAGTGGCCGTGAGCGTGCCACTGCACTCCAGCCTGGGTGACACAGTGAGACACCAACTCAAAAAAAAAAAGAAATCATTCTAAGCAAACAATCAGAAATACGGTCAAATATTTACTTGCAAGGATATCAATTGGGATTATTTATAAAAGCCCCTAATGGGAAACAACCTAATTCCACAAAAGGAGAATAATTAAATTGTGATACTCTTAGAGCCTGAAATGTTAGGCAGCAATCTAAAATGTATTTTATTTATTTCTTTTTTTTTTTGAGTCAGAGTCTCACTCTGTTGCCCAGGCTAGAGTGTAGTGGTACGCTCATGGCCATCGCAGCCTCGACCTGCTGGGCTCAGGTGATCCCTCTGCCTCAGTCTTCCAAGTAGCTGGAATCACAGGCGTGGGCCACCATGCCTGGCTAATTTTTTATTTATTTATTTATTATAGAGATGAGGTCGCAATAAATTGCCCAGGCTAGTCTCGAATCCCTGGGCTCAGACAATCCTCTTACCTATGCCTCCCCAAATGCTGGGGATTACAGGCATGAGCCACCAAGCCTGGCTCATTTTTAAAAAATACATGTTCAAAACATACATAGTAAAAGGGTAATATGTTCATGACATTATGTTTGGTGAAAACATAATTTACAGAGTTTGTATATACAAAACTGTATAATGACATGATTTTTGAAAAGATTAAATACATATATAGAAAAAAAGACAAGGAAGAAATGCATCAAAATGTCAGAGTTGTTAAAGATTAGATATATACCTAGAAAAAAAGATAAGGAGGGCATGCATTAAAACGTTAGAAGTTGTCTTTGGGTGTTGGGATTACAGGTGATTTTTTTCCTCCGCGTTTCTACAACAATCAGTGCTATTGTGTATTTTTCAATTTTTGGAAAAAAGATTCCCAGGGCATTTCTGAGGGGCTGCAAGGTGTCCAACTCACAGGCCACATTTGCAGGGTGAGGCTGATGCCCCAGTTGACCAGCGCGGGCGAGGCGGGGTCGAAGGGCGAGCAGCAGGGCCCGCCCCTGGCGCCGGCGGCGCGCGGTCTGGGTCGGTTTCCGCTCTCAGTTTCGCTCAGAGCGGGAACTGGAAACCGAAACAGCGCGGGGCGAGTCGCAAAAGCGAAACTGACGAGCTTGCGTCGCCGAAGCGCGGAGTCCAGCTTGCTCAGCTCCCGGGACCTGGGCGCCCTGCGCCTGTGTCCCCGCGCTCCTTGGACCCGGGTGCTCGCGCCCGGCACCGGAGCCCCGGCGCTTCGACCCCGTCCCCGGCACCTGCGTCCCCGCGCCCCGCACCTGTGTCCCGGCGCCTTGTACCCGAGTCCCAAGCCCGGCACCTGAGCCCCTGTGCCCAGTACTGGAGACTCCGCGCCTGCACCTGGGACCCTCAGCCCCGTCTCCGCATCCCCGCGCCCCGCACCTGAGCGCCCGCGCCCCGTCCCCGCGTCCCCGCGCCCGGTCCCTGAGCCCCCCCCCGTCCCTTGGCCCCGCGTCCCCGCGTCCCGCACGTAGGCCCCCCGAGCTCACCCGGATGCTCCCCGCTGGGAGCCCTTCCCCGGCCCAGCTGGCCCCGGCTGTTGTCTCCGCACGCGTAGACGGTGTGGTCGGCCCGCAGCAGTAGCGCGTGGCTCTCCCCGCTGGCAGCCTGCAGCAGCTCCCTGCCGTCCACGCCCGCCGCCGTCTGGCGCTGCGGCCCCCGGGATCCGGCGCCCCAGAAGAAGTGCATCCCGCTCCGCGCTCTGTCCGCACCGCCCGGCTCCCAATCCTAGTGATTGACGCGCGCCGGCATCCCGGAGATTGTGCGTCCGGCAGCCCTCCGGGCACGCCCTGCCTTGACTTGCCCAGTAGCGCAGTGCCGGCCCCATGGGATTCCTGAGGGAGCCCGCTGGATTTACATCCAACTAAGCCACGCGTGAGTCCGGTCGCCACACCTATGAAACATGGACAGCAATTCAGCAAATCTGACATGTTAAGATAATTTAATAGACAACATACAAGGTGTTAGAATAATGCCTAGCATGCTTGATAAAAGCATCCGAGTGTCTACACTTCCAGATACTGTTTTTGGCATTAGAAATACAACAGTGAGAGACGGATTCCTCGTGGTGTGCTTACCCAGGAAAAGAGAATATAAGCAGATAAACACAAGAGAGTATTATCAAATGCCAACAAAAAACGAAACAGAACCGGCAGTGGATGCAGAAGGACTCTTATTTTTGAGTGATAGCAGGCAGATGTCTCTAATGAAGTGACCTTCGAGCTTTGAGCACATTGGAAATGAGAAAATGGGTCATAGTCACATCGAAGGATAAAAAGGAGCAGGTTTTGAACAGAGAAGTGACATAGTTCGACGTTGGTTTAAAAATAATCATCTGGCTATTGTGCAGAAAATAATAGGACTGCCGGGCTCGGTGGCTCAGCCTGTAATCCCGCGCCTTTACATCTCTACAATAAATCAAAAAATTAGCCGGATGTGGTAGCGCGCGCCTGTAATTCCAGCTACTTGGAAGGCTGAGACAGAAGGATCTCCAGAGCTCAGCAGGTCAAGGCTGTGGTGGCCGGGAGCGGCCACTGCACTCCAGTCTGGGCGACAGAGTGAGACTCCAACTCAAAAAATAAAAAAGGAAAGAAAAAGTGTATATATGCACCATAAAATACTGTACAGCCATAAAAAAGAATGAAATCATGTCCTTTGCAGTAATATGGATGGAGCTGGAGATCAGCATCCTGCGTGAGCTGACTCAGAAACAGAAAACCAAACGATGCATGTTTTCGCTCATATGTGGGAGCTAAATGGTCACAAGGATGGAAATGATAGACAGTACACCAGTACAGGGGGTAGGTAGGAAGTGGGTTAGGGTTCAGAAACTACCTATGAGGTACAATGCTCACTATCTGGGGACTGGGCCACCTGACACTCAATCCCCACCAACACACAGTATGTCCATGTAACGAACTTGCATGTGTACCCCTGAAACCAAAATAAAGATGAAAAAAGGCATTTAAAAAGGGGGGTGGGGAGAAGGAAATGGATTAAGGGTTACCTCAAGATTGGCCTGAGCAACTGTGTGAAAATATCCTCCATGGGGATGGGAGACCCTGAAGGAGGTTGAGGTTTGGAGTTTTAGGTCAGGAGTGCAGATTGGTAATGATAATTGTGAGATGCTTGCTATACAAAGAGACAATAGGATAAGTGATTGTGGAGTTGTAGAAAGAAGTCTAGGTGGGGTCAGAAAATTGGGAGCCATCGGTGTAGAGATGATGCTTAATGCCAGAGGGTAGGATGCGGTCTCCCAGGGAGTGAGTGTGCTAAAGTGTAGCAGAGGTCGGAGGACTGATCACAGCAGGAAAGCCATGACCAGCAGAGAGCAAGACTGTAGTGGCTCAAGCCTGTAATGCCAGCACTTTGGGAGGCCGAGGTGAGAGGATTGCCTGAGCCCATGAGTTTGAGACCAGCCTGGGCAACTTGGTGAGACCTCATCTCTACAATAAATTAAAAAATTAGCTGCGTGTTGTGGTGTGTGCCTGTAGTTCCAGCTACTTGGAAGGCTGAGGTAGAAGGATCACCTGAGCCCAACAGGTCGAGGTTGCAGTAGCTGTGAGTGTGCCACTGCACTCCAGCCTGGGCAACTGAGTGAGACTCCAACTAAAAAAAAAAAAGTGAAAAGTATTATAAACCTTTTATAATACAGTACTCTATAGCCAATTGTGTTAGTTGAGTTCCTAGGCAAATTTTGTTGGACTTATGAACCAATTGAACTTATGAACGTGCTCTGGGAACAACTTATTTGCATGAAGGGGACTTGCCATATTGGATTTCTGAAATTATTATAGAATCTATGTATATAATCTCAATTCACCTCTCTTTATGACTGTCTCTTAATGTATTTCAGGATAAGAACAAATGCTATTTGTTTTTCTATCTCAAGAGTGGCAGATGCTAATAAGGCTATATGAGACAGATGGCTTAATGAGTAGTGAGTAAATTAACAGACTTCCTATTTCTGATTCTGTTTTACTATATACCATATATAACCTTTTTCCAAATAGTAATTTCTTCGGTGTTTATTTCTTTTCCCGGGCACAAACTGGGAAAAGAGTTTGGTATTATTAATGTGAGACATTGAGCCCTCATATTAAGTTACTTTATTTTTAAAAACTTTATTGATGCATAATAGATTACATATTTTCAGGGTACATATGATAATTTGATTACTCATGTAATCACATCAGAATAAATGCAATATCTATCACCTCAAATATTTATATTTATGCTAGGAACATTCAAATTAGTCTCTTCAAGCTATTTTGAAATGTATAATAAGCCGGGCTTGGTGGCTCAGCCTGTAATCCCGCGCCTTGGGAGGCTGAGGTGAGTGGATTGCCTGAGCCCGTGGGTTCGAGACCTGCCTGGGCAACTTGGCGAGACCTCATCTCTACAATAAATCAAAAATTAGCCGGATGTGGCAGTGCGCGCCTGTAGTTCCAGCTACTCGGAAGGCTGAGGTGGAAGGATCGCCGGAGCCCAGCAGGTCGAGGCTGCGGTGGCCGGGAGCAGCCACTACACTCCAGTCTGGGTGACAGAGTGAGACTCCAACTCAAAAAGAAAAAATGTATAATAGAGTGATGTTAACTCTAGTCATCCTACTGGTCTATCAAACACCAGGTCTTATTTCTTCTACCCCACTATTTACTTGTACCCATTAAAAAACCTCTCTTCATTTCCCCTCCCCCCACCCTTCCTGGCCTCTGGTAACCAACAATCTACTCTCTATCGCCATAAGTTCCACTACTTTTTAGTTCCCACATATCATTGAGAACATAGAATATTTGTCTTTCTGAGCTTGGCTTATACATTTAATATAATGAGGCTGGACGCAGTGGTTCATGCCTGTAATCCCAGCATTTTGGGAAACCGAGGCGGGAGAATTGACCAGCCTGAGAGACATAGCAAGACCTTGTTTCCACAAAAAATGCCAAAAATAAAAATAAAAAAGAGCGAGTATGGTGGCATGTGCCTGTAGTTCCAGCAGGAAGCTGTGGTGGAAAGTTTGCCTAAGTCCAGGAGGTTGAGGCTGCGGTGGCCGTGAGTGTGCCACTGCACTCTAACCTGAGCGAGACTCTGACTCAAAATAATAATATTAATAATAACAACAACAATAATAACTCAATCAGCATTTAGACTTTACGAAGTCCTTTCAACTATTTTACCTGATGTGTCCTCATAACTATAGAGTATTCAGCATAAGACGGATTTTTTAGAGGAGTGAAAGTAATTTGCCTCAGGTTTGCAGGTAAGCAAGTGGGAGAGCCCATGTTTTTTCCTTCTAGTGCACCACATGTCTGAGTGACCCTTTCTCAGAGTACACCCAGATAACAACAATCTGTCAGAATGTAATGTCATCGCATCTTTAGAATCAAACTTTAAAAATTATTTATACCTGGCCAGGTGCTGTGGCTCCTGTCTGTAATCCCAGCACTCTGGGAGGCTGAGGCTGGAGGATTGCTTGAGGCCAGGAGTTCAAGACGAGCCTGGCCAACATAGCAAGAATGTCTCTGTTTAAAAAATAATAATAATAAAAAGAAAATTATTTATACCTAATATTTCATGCCAATAATCTATTTCTTATATTTACTAATTTCCCCCTTGCAGTGATGTACGGATGGCAGGAAAATGAAAGATAAGAAAATGAAAATTTCTGTCTACCACATATCAGTGTCTTCCACAAGACATTTTCCAATGTAAGCAACCACCCTGTAAGTTCATGTCATGTACCCCCCTTCCAAATAGGAATAACAAGCCTCAGAAAAATCATGATATGCTCGAGATAAACAGTAAGATAAGTAGGGGAGGGGAGGTTCCCGGATTCAAACCCTCTTTCCACCAAGTCACACTGACTCCATATGCAGTGAGGAGGACATTAGAAAAGGGCATGAGAAGCTGGGCACAGTGGCTCTCACCTGTAATCCCAGTCCTTTGGGAGGCCGAGACAGGAGGATTGCTTGAGCCCAGGAGTTTGAAACTAGGTTGAGCAACATAGTGAGATCTTGTCTCTACAAAAAAATCAGAAAATAATCGAGGTTTGGCGGCACGTGCCTGTAGTCCCAGATACTCAGGAGGCTGAGGTGGAAGGAAGGATTGCCTGAGCCCAGGAGATTGAGGCTATGGTGGCCATGGTTGTGCCACTGCACTCTAGCCTGGGTGACAAAGTGAGACTCTGACTCAAAAAGAGAGAGAGAGAGGAGAGAGAGAGGAGAGGGAGAGGAGAGAAGGAAAGAAAGGGGATGAGAGAGAGGAAGAGCTTATAAAAGGTTGTCATGGAGTGAGACCTTCGTCACCAGTTAGAAAGGAGGCCAAGAGGTCTGAGGGAAATCCTGGGGGGTTGACTGGAACACCTGAGAAGAGGTAGGCTGTTGCAGGTTCCCATTGCTTTCCTTTGCCCACCTCTTCTTAGGTTGCCTTCTGTTTTAATGCCATTGATCTGAGTTCAAAACTCATGCTCTGTGTTCCCAGCTCTGAGGACAAACGGAAACTAGAATACATTCCGTATATAATCTTTGTTAGAGTTGGAGACTTACTCTGTCACCCAGATTGGAGTGCAGTGGCATAACCACAGCTACCGCAGACTCCACCTCCTGGGCTCAGGTGATCTTTCCACCCCGGCCTCCTGAGTAGCTAGGATTACAGGTACACTCCACCAGGCTTGGCTGATTTTTTGGTTTTTT